AGCGCTTGACCAAACAAGGCCTGGCAAATGTGCAAAGGCACAAACCAATCCTCTGAATTCAGAGAATTTCATAATGATTTGTTACAGTAGCGTTTTTGACATGTTTGTTGTTATTGAGTTGTTTGTGCAAAGGTGTTCTTGAATAGTTGTTCCGCCTCAGATGCCTGTGTCGACACATTGAGAAATGCTGAGCCCTGTCCGTTTTCAGGTTGATGTCCTGACCTTGACACGAGGGGACATGAGTATATATGAAGATAACATGGTGCCGTTCAAGCCAATTGCAAGGCTGAACCGTGCTTAGCTCTTACAGCGAAGCCTCAGCGTTGGATGGGTTCTTAGGCCACCGCCGCAAAAATAAAAGGTGCTGCATCCCAAGTGGTTGGCCATGAATACTGGCTGCAATGGAGTCAAGGACCAAACAAACTTTGTATCTCAGTAAAGAAACGTATGGTCTTTGGATTTCTGGGTTCATTATTTACTCCGAAAAACAACATAGACCAAAACTCAATTTCAAGTGCGATTTAACATGGACCACTGGAAACGTTGACTTCCTGGGGAAACGGCATTCGCATTTTTGGGGGCAATTTCCGGACACTCACTAACATGGACCACACACACTCTCAGTCTCTGATCGATTCTGAATGATTCTGACACTAACATGGATCAACTGCAATCATTGCAATCTGACTACATAGACCGTACCGGTAGAGGTCAACATAGCCCGGTGGAGGCTAACATAGACCATGCCAAATACCCGTACAGCCCACCATGGTGCATCTGAATTTGGTCTAGGTTAGTCTAAACGGTGTCCGCTCCGAAACTAGACTAACATATGCCACGAAAAAATGCCTAAAATGTGAGTTTTCTCCGGTGTATGTTATATTTGCACGCGCACGGTGGCTCAATGCTAGAAGCCCTCCAAACCGACCGGTGAAAGGAAAGCTCACCACGGGTGGATCCTCGTGGTTGTTGAGCCACATCTGTTTGGCTTTTTGGACACATCCCCATACATCTCCCATGTTTTGCATTGATGAGGCCAAACATGAAAGTGGAGTGACCCCAACCGGCGTGCATAGCTGACGTTCATCAAGTACAGCAGCCGTGATGTTGCCCACAGCAGCCGGGCAAAGCGGAGAACCACCCTTTAAGTGGTGAACACATAGGCCATGTGTGTTCGGCTTGTTGTCTGCAGGCTGGGTGGAGACCAAGACACTTCCACCGCCCACTCAGAGGCTCTAGCTTATTGGACGCCCGGCTTGCTAGACTCCGAGCGCAAGTTGCAGTAAGCACCACAACAATAGGGGTAGTTGATTGGACTTGTAGGGCCCTTACTCCGCGAAACAAGCCGGGGATAATTTGTGTAGTGGTTTTTGCAACCAGTATACTACAAATCACTCATGCCTTGCAGGTAGCCAGTCAGGACCTCAATCAAGACACGGACAGGCGCATTGAATTTCCACGCTTCTCACACTTCAATAGGCAGACCACCGAAGTCGAAAGTCACCAGTTGAGAGCTCGACCTTGAGCTTCGCTGGATGGCTTTCATGCTCCGCTTGGGCTCATGCAGATTCACCTCCCCTCCATTGCTCGGCCCACCCTGGCTGCTTGACAGACTTTGAAAGGGGCTTCATCTCCATTGCCGTCGATTGCAGCGAGTGCAGTGTGATGGGACTCCAAACTGACTGGGGGGCGGCTTGAAGAAGCGGCGTCTTCAAGCTGCAGTTCTTCCGTCCACTTCGTTTTTGGATGGAACACCCTGAGGTTCTTTCAATTACTTGTGGATCGAGTCTCTTCATCCAGCGCTACAGATCTCATGATCAAGGGGCAGGGGTCTCCTCCGGCGGGGCACAAGCACCTCAAACTATTAAGGACGCTCCTGAAAGAAAGCACACATCGTTTCATGGATACGAAAGTAAACAATCGTGTCAGAGCATGACGAACCATGGTCACTTCTCATGGTCAAGGACCACGCACTTGATGATCTGCTTGGGGTCAGCACATACTCACCTGAGGCTGCCCGAGATGATGATCGTCCTTGGAGAAAAATATCCACCTCTCCCGAAATATCTCCAGCTGAACGGAGCGAGAAATCCGCAGCTTCACTGAAAGCCGGCAGCTACGCAAAAGCTGCGCAGCTGAAGCTGGTGAACCATCGTCATCATGAAAAAAGTTGGGAACCGAACTGTTCAGATCGACGTCGCTTGGGAGGGGAGAAGTCGCCACCGAAGCCCCCCTTTGCAGAGTCTCCGGTCTCAACATCTGATTCCCAGGCCCCCAAACCGGCCGGCCCGGGCTGATGATGTATGGGACTCCCAAAAAGGTCCGTCAAAATAAACAGGCTGTTGGATATGTGAAAGATTAGACCAATAGGATTGTTAACAGCTAGATCTGGTGTTTTTTGGTTGGATGAGCCCCTTAGTCAAACCTTGTCAGACCCCTGGGTCGACGCTGAACCCTTGGTCTTAAGAGTCCTGGGCTGAGTCTTAAGAGGGGCACTATTGTTGAGATCATGCAAGCTAGTACTGTGAAACATGGTATGGACAAATTAATATTCAAATTAGTTTCAATGGTTTGGCCTCATACCAGTGACCAGTTAGGTCTCAATGTTATTCTATTGGGCTGGGCGCTTCACGGGCGAAAGATAGCAGGTGGACTGTTGATGTTTCTCAACCCATGGAGGAAAAAAAACACATCCTCCGATGAAAGGGGAGGAAGAAACCTTCAGAACTTCAGATGCCGTGTTGTAGACATGGTTGCCATGTAAGAGGGCCACATCTGAGATTGCAGCCACCTAAGACGGCCACACCTGAGATGGTTGGGAAGACCTCTCTCAACATCACCGCCGCTTTAGAGCTCTTCAAGGGTTCTGACCAACCTCACACTTAAGATTATTTAAGATCTGTTTGCTTTGCATCGACTCGGGCGTTGGAACAAGCAGATCGATCTGAGGTCGCTTGAATCCCACACCATCTAGATATCTGATGTGTAAACAGGTACCAATCTAGTGGTCCCCAAATAGACAGTGGCACGGTTTCCAAGACCTTTTTTAGCGGGGATCTACGAACTTCATCCTATGGGGGGTCAAAACACACTCGCAAAGCGGTTTCTTTGCTACTGACCTCGGCTACTGACCTTGGCTACAGACGTCACTCCCATGTCGTCCCAGGTCGTCCCCGGGCGTCGCCTGCAAGCTTCGCATGGCCCGGGCGTTCTTTGCGGCGCGGGGAACTCGCGGGTTTTGTGGAGTCGAGGTCAGTGGAGGCAATGGATCAAGGATTGCAATTCATTGTTGAAGAACATATTATCTCTTGTCTTTTTCGTTCAAGTCCTCTTGCCAATCTCAATTTAGGACATGGGACCAAAAGCGTATACCGCATACAACCTCAGATGCAAATAATGCGGTTTTTATTATGTATGCTTTTCTTGGGGTCAAGATGGAGGCATGGATCCTGTGGTCATTGTTTCATGCTTTTTTATTATGTATGCTTTTCTTGGGGTCAATATGGAGGCATGGATCCTGTGGTCCATGTTCAGATTCGTTTATACCACATGTTTTACATCCCAGGTGCAACACTGGGTGCAACGTACGGTTCTTTGAAGAGCCACTTTTGGTGAACAGAGGGACGGGACGTACAACTCACAACATCATTGTTGGAAGGTCAGTCTGGAAACGAATGGCTCCGACACTTCTATTTTCGGTTTTGGGGGTTTGAACTTTGAGCATGCTTGAATCAATATTCAATATCATCTACTCTACTCTAAACAGCTCAGGGAGAAAAATGGCAGCGACATCGCGATATAGTGATGACAAAGACTGGCTGGATCTGGCTGGGTTCTTGATGCTCGTTCAGCCTGCCCACACAAATACCCTCCTCGCAACGAACAATTTGGAAGTTAGCCCCCGCTTGCACAGAATAAAATGGAAGTTCTTGAAGCGACTTTTGTCCAAGTTCATACATCTTGGATGGAGGCTAGCACCCTACGGCTTTGTTATGTTTTGTGGTTGGTCATAACCTCTGAGACAATCTCAGCATGGTCCTGGCTATCGACAACAGTTTCTCATGGTGTTTTTCTTGGGCATCAGACCAGCTTCCTGAACCTGAACAAGATATCCCTGAAAGTCCAAAGAAGAAAGTTCCTCTTGGCCCACTGAGGTGAAGGAAGTTACTATTTTCGGGTCACCATTCAAGACCATTGATTAAATAGTCTTGGACTCCTGGACAAGATATGGATGTGATGTGGTATTTTAATGGGAGATCCCGATCGCCCCTGGCTGCGAATGGCCTGCGAAGCGTCTACGTTGGACGTTGCCGGTCGGTCTCAAAGAGAGCTGCAGCTACACACTCATGTTCTACACCACCCCTAGAATTCTCAAACCACCCAAAATACTGTGGCTTCAAGTGGGTCTCCATAGCGGAACTGCGGGACAACCCATGGACCTCAACACCGACGGTGCGGTGCGACGGCCCCTGCTACGGCGGCACAGTGTGGCGTGCTGTCCAGGGAGAAATGATAATCTTGAATTTGTTTATTTTGCTTAATTAAGGAACCAGGAAGAAATCACATATGATATTCCCAGGTTTGGGGGTTCCTTTTCCTAAAATGAACATCACATCAAAATCTTACCCAATCAGCAAAACTGAATCGGATCATTTTGAGTCTGGCAGAAACTCGCCAAGCCTCGAAAGGAGGTGCCCCTCATGTTCTCGTGTTCCCCCAAAACGGTTGCTTTCATGCATGTTGGGTCAAAACCCTGGTTGGTTGGACAACCAGCTGGTCCATTCTCTTCATGTTCACGCGAAGCCTCCCGGTTTAACCCCTGGCCGCGGCCACTTCAGCCCTAAATTTTGTAGTTTAGTTTTGATCCATCTACAGGTCATAAAGAGGTCGTAGCCCACAAGTCGAGGTCCCACTTCCACGCGCCGTTGAACACCTCCGCCATGCCGGAACCCCCTCCGCCACACCGTAGTGGCGGGTGGCAAAACGGTGCACCCTTTTTGAAACGTCCTGGTGCTGTGCACCCGGTCGCTGCGCCCGGCGCTTTCGTTCACTCCTCGGCTTGCTGGGTGGGGTTCCTACCCAGAAAACACGCAGACTCCGAACGGTTCGTACGGGCTGGACTGGACCTACCAGGAAGCATCATGGGAACAGTTTGTAGAGTTCAAGGTTGCAAACTGGCACAGATGCACCTTGGTGCATCCAGAGTTAGTTTCTGCTTTTAAACTATGTAATGTCAACCTGGTATTAGGGAACCCCCCCTATTAGTCTACCCCGCGTTCAGGCCCCAATAATAAACTAATTTGAACTATAAAATTTCCACAGTCACCACCCTTTAATAAAATTTTTGCTTGGCTGAAACCCCCCCCATTAGTCTACCCCCTGTCCCTCCAGGAAAAATATAATTACTCAAATATATTACAAATATATTAATACTAA